CAGGAAAGATTTCTCCATTACTTTAAGAGGAGCAAGGGTTTGGGTCTAATTGAGAAAGGTGAAAAGACAGCAGAGGAAGTTGCATCCAAAAATGCTCTCACTTTGTGGAAGTTCTCATCAGCACTGACAGACATGAAGTCATGGGTTTGGCTTAGCCGTAGATCAGGACAAGGTTATATTTAACAGCAAAGACATCAGAGAAGCACCTGCAGAGATCATGTTCCTCATCCTTCCCCTCCATGTTCACGCCCTGCAGGTATCACTGTCCTGCTTTCCCTGACCGTATTCATGCTGCTTGTGGCTGAGATCATGCCTGCAACTTCTGACTCAGTCCCACTAATAGGTAAGTTGATTTTCTCTGCTCTGTGCACAATGTATGATGCTTCTCAAGAGCTGTTCAAAGCTTATTTGAGGACTGACTCATTTTGTTACTATAGTTTGCATTTCAGCAATGTCAGGAGTAAACCTCTGGGCTTTACTGTTTGCATGTATGAAAAGAGCCTACATGAGGGATACAAAAACGCTCTGGAAATATCAGATAAGCTGGTAACTGCAAGGATTGAGGGGACACAGAATCAACACATAATGTGGAGGTTTGGGTAGGCAAAGCACAAAGTCAACACCACCAGTGCACAGGCATGAGTGGGATACTGGAATAGTACTCAGCCCTGGCTCTGAATTCATTGAGTCTGTCCATAAAGTCCCTTCAACAGCTCTTTGGATGAAGCTGTGTGCACAGAGCTTTTGAAGGTCTCAGTGCTGCTGGATAGAGAAAATTCATCTTTCTTCTTCCACGTCACCTGCCCTCCCTGCTGTTATGCATTTCTTCCCCTCCTGCAGCCCTCTCCTCTTCTCTTTTCTATACCTCAAGAGCAACTCGAGGTACTAGGGTCAAAATTCAAAAATATTACTGGAGCATTTTTAACATGTGATGAAAACTATGGGACAGATTATCATCTTGGGAACATGGGCCAGACAGACATTGTTACATCCTCTGTTTTCATAGGACCATCCCTTTACCTTGATCTCATGAGGCCTCAGTTTCTCAGCTGTGAACTGAAGTAAGTGTAACTCCTCAATGTCATAGCAGGGTAGAGAAAATAAACCTGTTCTGGTTTACAAAATAAAGTATGAACACCACAGGAAAACTCAGAACTTGTTTACTTATCCTGAGCTTGTTATTTTTTACTTATCCTTGTTTACTTGTCCTGAGCTCAGATCTATGTTTGCATACAAATCATGACTAAAGTACACATTCCAGACAGTAGAAATAAACAAAATATTTAACAATATATCTGTTTGCTGATGGAAGGTGCACCTCACCATTGTATAATTAAAGCCTCGCACAAGATATATCATGAATAGGACAAAAGAGCATTTACTCAGATAACCTTATTACCTCACTTCAAGGATTAAAACCTCAGACCTAACTGTGGGGAAGGAGGGTGACAATGCAACAGTAAGGGCAACAACGCCCATAGGCAAGAGTTTCTGAAAGCCTCCAAATAACTTGGACATCTAATTGAAAGTCAGCAGGACTCTTGCCTCTGAGTCACACAGGAGCTTCGAAAAAACTAACAAAACCTCTCTCTGAACATGTACCTAGGACTTCACAGAGGCAGATGCAATTTTAAGAGAAACTTTGTGTGTAGGGAGGAGACACAAGGCATCTTGGATCAGTCTTCACATAATTTTGCTTTGTGTAATACATAAAAAAAGCCATTTGGAATTAGTAAAGGGATGTACTTGCCTATGCACAGTCCACTAGCTTTAACCAGACCAGTTTCTACTGATACAGTCCCCTATCATAGAAGGTAAGGTTTGTACCAAGAAAAGCTATTAATAGCTATGTATTAATACAGATTTTGATGCTGTAATAACAGATTAATTTCTACTTATCATGGCATAGCTATGTGAACATCACATATCAGGAGAGGGTGAGGGGCAGTGGTGTTGGGGAACCCTGATGCATCAAGTCCCCCTTCTCCAGATGAATATTGGCTCAACTGTTAGGACCTTTCACATCTTTCCACCCTTTTTGGATCACAAAGTCAAGGAGATGATAAGGGATTCTCTTCTCATGAATATGCCTTGTTGACAGCGTATATTGTTGCAAGTTTTTTCCTAATGCCCAAATAATTAGAGCATATCAAATGTATTAGAAATGCATCTCTCGAAGTTGTCATGTAGGTCAAACACAGTCTGTTTCTTTCATCTGTTCATTAGACAAATTTGATATTGTGAAACACTGTAAAAGAATAATCCTTGCACATGGATGCTTTGTAACACCCTGGAGACTGACTTCAGGTATCCAGATGAGTGATGTCTAAAACAATCCTGTGGCTACTGTCATCTGATGCTTCCTTGTTGCAGCCCAAAAGCAAACTGAACCTGGACTCGCTGGGGTGCACTCAGGCTGCATGCTCTGAAACTCAACCATCCCTGTGCAATGAAAGCTCTTGTTTCATAGGATCACAAGATAGTTCAGGTTGGAAAGGACCTCGGGAAGTGGAACACTGTGTCAAAAGCCTTGCTAAAGTTGATGTAAATGACATCTACTGCACTCCCCTTGTCTGCAAATATTGTCATTTTATTATAGAAGGCAATCATGTTGGTCAGACATGATTTATCCTTCATAAATGCAGGCTGGCTCTTCCCAGTCCCCACCTTCTCCCTCGAGTGTCCAGAAATGTTCCCCAAGGACTTGCTCCCCAGTTTACCCAGGGACCAAAGTCAGAATGACAGGGCTGTAGTTCTCTGGATTGTCCTTTTGGACTTTTTTGAAGACGGGTGCAACACCTATATTTCTCCAGTTGTCAGGGATCTTACCCCATCTCCATGGCCTTGCAACGATACCCTTAGGACTCTTGGTGACACCTATCTGGTCTCATGGTTCTTGGACAGATTTGGATCTCACAATCAATCCCTGACTCCGTCCTCATACACTGCTGGTTGTTTTCCTCATTCTTGAACCATGTCTCTAAACACAGAGACATAGGAGACCTTGATGGTGAAAACTGAGGCAAATACACACTGTCTTCGCCTTACCTCTTTCCAGGGTCACTAAATCATCCTCCCCATTCAGCATCAAGCCCATGTTTTCTTTGTTCAGCTTTTTACCGTTTGTATAGTGGTAGAAACTATTCCTGTTGCACTTGACTCCCTTGACAGTCTCAACTCCTGAACTTTAACATTCCTAACACCAACCCTAATGCCCAGGCAATGCTTCCAAATTTTCCTTTTGCAGCCTGTCCCTGCTTCCTGCATCCCCCCTTCTTCTGCACTGGACATCCACCATGAGTTCCCGGCTTAGCCATGCTTATCTCCTGATGTGTTTGCTTATTTCTCTGAGTAATAGAAGGGACTTTTCTTGCACTTGGAGGCTGCTGTACGTCAAGCCCTTGCAGTTTTCTTGTGCTGCTTTATCTTTCAGGGCTTCCTCCAGTGGGATCCCAGCTACTAGTTCCACGAAGAATTAGAAACTGTTCACCTGAAATCCAAGGGCTATACTCTGCTGTTCTCATTCCTCACTCCTTTCATGGTCTTGAACTCCACCAAGTTCCCTGTGACAACCAGGATCTGTGATACAGAGGCTTCCCTGAGTTGCTTTAAGAAGGCCCCATCCCCATATCCACTGTATTTGGGAGGTCTATAATGCACTCCCACCACAGCATTACTCTTGTTGGCCTCTTCACTGAATCTGACCCACAAGCTCTCCAGCAGCACTCATCCATCCCATAGAGGAGCCCCTCACATCCAAGTGGCTCCTTCACACAGAGCACAACCCATGTTGTCTTCACCGTCTGGTCTCCCTGAAGAACTTTGTACCTATACATCAGAGCATTCTGGTAGTGAGAGATGTCCCTCCACATCTCAGTTGTCCCAGCAACGTTATTGTTTCATGACCACACACAGAGTTCCAGTTGCTCCTTCATATTTCCCAGACTTCATGCATTTGCTCACTCTGCAGGTGAGTCCCTCCCTCCCTTGTTTCACCATTCCTTTCTTTCTCTGGCCACCCAGCACCATTTTCTTTCCACCCTTGTCCACTGTTTCTCCATTTAAATTTGGGTTGTAATCTCCCTTCCACAGCATTCCTAGTTTAAAGCCCTGCTCCTAACTCCTTGCTCCACTCCAAATAGGCAGGGAAAGACTGCTCACCCATTTGGCTTCTGCACCCAAACAGCCCTTGTTCAGCAAGTGCTCAAAGCTGGGCTGTGTGGTTTTACATGATCTTGAGCTCTGAAAACCTTATCCTTACTCTAATAAGGTAGCACAGCATCATCTCTCCACAGCGATCTTATAGGTGATGCCAAATGGGATATTTTAGCTGCTGAACTGGATATACCAGGTCATGATCACAGTTCTGCAGTGTGATCTCTGGTCCAGTTGAAAATCCTCAGGAATGAGTGTGAGGAAAAGGAGGACACTTGGACAGCTTGTTCAATTTTTGGAGTATCAGCGCAATTAGCGCCAGGTTACAGGAATAAACAAACCTTCTAACGCATGTGGTTTGAGAAGGATGCAAGTAATTTGATCTTGAAGTAGAAAGATCCATTGCTGGTGTGTAGAAAAGCCACTGTCACTGGTCTTCATGCATGTGGGAGCAGAGATGCTCTGAAAATGTGACCCTACGCACTTTAAAAATTCGCATTGTATTCTTAGGGTCTTGTTTTTTAAAAATAAACATTCATCCACACCTACCTGGACCTGGGTGAACACTCCCAGCCTTTGCTAGTACAAAAACACTAGCGCCTAACATGCTATACCTCTTACTTTTCTCTGCCTTCTGACCTCAGTTTTAACTACTTAACTGTAATAACATGGGAAATTCTTACAGCTGCTGTTTGGAGTGTCTTTGTTGAGGGAGCAAAGGAAAACTGGTCTAATATGACACCAAGAAAAGAACTAGCTTCTGAGGTCTGGTATATTTGCAAAGAAATGTGGAAATCATATCCTGATTCTTCTTAGTTGAGGCCACTCTTCCTTGACCTCAACTTACATTTACAATAAATGAAGCACCCCTCAGCCTAAATAATCACAAGGAAGCAGGTGGGGCAAGACACCTGCTTTTTTCTACCTCTCTGCAAAGTGGCTCCCCGCTTCCTTGGTATGTCCTCTGCATTCTCTGTCTGTTCATAAAGCTGCCCAGAGCAGAGAGTCTCTTACTCCACATGTGCAACTTCCCCGCACGATGGACTCCCATTTCTATGTAGACTACTGACTGCTGTGCTAATACATATTAAAACCAATCCAACTTCTTTTCTGTAAAGAGCAAGTGACAAAGCTTGGCCTAGAAATCAGCAGCAGGCTGCTCAACAACTTTGAACACCAGGACCCTCC